CATGGGTAAATAGTGGGATTGCAAGGCCTAGTGAAATTAACTACGCCTAACAACCATTGAACGCATTTCGATTCCCATTCAGCTGTTTCCATACCAACAAGGGTTGCTACATTTAGCCCATTTTTGGGGGTTACATAGGTCGGCACAAACCACCCCAGATTGCTTTCAGCTATGATGTTTTGACACCTCACGAAGTGTCACGGTGCTGCTTAGTCTGTGCAGCAAGCACCGCATCGCTCAGCCACCGGGAAAAGTTTTCCATGTAGGGCCCTTTGCGTGCAATATTTTTAGTTGGAAAGTGTATCTATAATCAATAGCTTACAGTGTAATGAGGTAAACTTGGAACCCCCGTGAATCCACAACAAGCTTTTCTGAAATATATGGCCTATTGTTGAACGATAATAGGATTGAGCTACCAAAGGTACCCTATTGTTGAACGATAATAGGATTGAGCCACCAAAGGTACCCTATTGTTGAACGATAATAGGTTGGTAGCCCCATCTCCCGCCCTATTGTTGAACAACAATAGAAATACCCCAGAATGGCAAACCTATTGTTAAACGATAATAGAATCGTATATGGACCAAACGCGTATTGTTGTTCAACGATAGGTCAATTTTGCTGAGTGAATGCTATCAAGTTTTTTGGAGCCCATGGAAACGCTCAGCATCTATTATATTCCATCAGTTGCAGCTGGTCCGGCCACCCTTCGGATCTTGATTCTAAGTCATTTTTGGGTTATCCAATGATGAATTCAAATCTATCCCTTGCCCTGATGAATAAATTGGAAGCTGTTTCAACGCGTCTGAATGCAAACACGGGAACAGCCCAAACCAGCCACATGCTGTCGCAAATTGGAAAGGATGCAGGCGCAAGCAACTGTGAAACTATGTCACCAACACAACTTGGAAAAAAAATGTTGATAGTATCTTAGTATCTGATGATTGTTGTCAAGGCAGGCTCTGGCTGATTGGTGAATCAAAAAAACAAAATTACTTTCCAGGAAACAGGTTTCCTTTTCTCTGGTTTAGAAATATGTGGTAAATATTACCTATGCCATCTTGGCACCATTATAATAGGTTAATCCCCAACCCCAAATCAGGGGCCACAAAGCCCTATGCTGCCTGCAATGCAGGCTGCCGCGGCTGCCACACGCAGGGCAGCTGTTGCCGCCGGGTGACGGTGGGTATATATATATATTTATATTTATATGATTATATATTTATATGATTGTATATTTATTTGATTATATATATAAATATAATTTTCTGATTTAATTATATATATATACATAATTATAAAATTATATATTCAATTATATATACAAATATGCTTTGGGCTTTGGTGGTTTTTAGAAATACAGTATAAAAGATTTGGTGGCTGTATACCTTGTGGGGCAATATCAGTTGGTTTTTATGGGCGGTTTACACCTAAGTTTTAGGGCAACACCAAGTAGATTGAGATGGGAAATTCTTAGAATATTGGGAATAATCTTTTCGTTGGATTCCTCTATATACATGTCAGTGAGATATTCCATCCCTGGGATGCCTTAGTTAGTTATATTTACACCTTTTATGTAACCATATCAGAATGGGTTGTCATGAGCCCACATGTGGTTGGAATGGTTTTTCAACTATGCCAATCTTTTTGGCTATTTTTCAAAAATCAAAACCGTCCATTTTTTTAGGGTGGAAGATGGAACATCTTTTTAAATACCGCCCATCAAGAAACAAAACCACGTGAGGGGTATCGTTTTCATGTGGCCCACAAAATTTGAACGTGTATTCTTTCCCGGTGGTACTTTCACTTTACACCTTGGGAAAGTGTTTTCTAGTTTCACAGGTCTAAGAAACGTGTGTTGTTTATAGGCATCCTCTGTATATACATGCCCCGTGGTACTTTCACTTTACACCTTGGGAAAGTGTTTTCTAGTTTCACAGGTCTAAGAAACGTGTGTTGTTTATAGGCATCCTCTGTATATACATGCCCCGCGCGATTTTTTTTAAACCATGGAGCCCCATGAACAAATATATTTTTTCCACCATGCGACCTACTTAGCCTACTTAGCTAAGTAAGTTACAAGTGCGTCTCCAAGTGAGCTAAGTTCGACATACCCAAGTTCACTAAGTGCACTTAGGCAACTTGTGCTAACTGCAACAACTACACTTACAAGTGCGCTAAGCAGATACAACTGTGCCATCTAGATACAAGAGGCCTGCCCATCCAAGTATCGAATTTCCAACACCCAATTTTGTTCAATGATCAGCCCGATGATGTCACATGCTCACCATTCATTGGCCCGACTTGGATGGACGACCTGAGCGTCTGCATTGGTGCTTCATCCAATCCGGCGCTGCTTGCCAAAACCGGAACGGCACTGAGTGTCTTGATTGACCTGTGTCATGAAATGCACATGCAGCCGAATCTCAAGAAAGGGAAGACAGAGGTTATGCTATGTTTCAGAGGACCAGGCTCCAGAGAACTCAGGCGACGGTTTTATTCACAAAACTGTGGTTTTCCAGTCGTATGTGAAGACAAGTCGTACCACATTTCTGTTGTGAGCAGATATCTCCATCTGGGAGGCATAGTACACCATCGAACGGTTACGAGTGTTGAGATCACTCGACGGCTTGGTATTGCACATCAAGCTTTCACGCAGCACCGCCGAGTGCTTTACCGAAACCTCCAAATCCCTTGGAAGAAACGCCAAGAAATCTTCTCCACACTTGTCCTGAGTAAACTTGTGTATGGGTTCGAATCTTGGACGTTTGAAACTCAAGAATGCCGTGCCCAGCTGCATGCGGGCATCATGAAATTATACAAACGACTCTTGGGGAGTCGCCATGCGGAACATCTCACTGATGACGCTGCCATCATCGCTGTTGGAATGCCCTCTCCCACTGAACTCCTCAGATGCTGTCGGCTACGCTACTTCGGTACATTGTTCCGGTGTGGACGTGACGCGCATTGGGGACTGCTGAAAGAAGACGTTACATGGGTGTCCATGCTTGAAGATGACTTCCGATGGCTCTGGAGACAATTGCAAAACAACACAAGCTTGCCAGATCCTGTGCTGCATTTCCCTGTCTGGAGTGATTTGCTCAAGCATCATGGAGGATATTGGAAAAAGCTTATCAAAAAAGCCGCTGCCCACGCATGTCTCCAGAGAGAAAATGAAGAGATAGCAGTTCAGATGCACAAGCGAGTTGCAAATCTCCTTCATCAACATGGATGGACACCGGCCCTACCACAGCCTGCTAACGACACAGTCAGTAGTCAGCATGTTTTTGGTTGCTTGCACTGCCAGACGCCTCATGCCACGCGTGCTGGTGAAAGCGCACACATGTTTAGACGACATGGTTTCCAAGCATCAGCCCGCCGCTTGTTCGACGGCACGTCTTGTCCAAACTGTTTGCGTGAGTATCATACCCGTGCAAAAGTTTTAGCCCATTTGCGTCACGCCCATGTCTGTAGACAAAGTCTGATCGGCAGGAGAATTCAGTGTGAACCCACACCGGGCACTGGATCAATCGTTGACCGTGGATTACATGAAGCAACAGATGGGGCAGTGCCCTTTATGCATGGGCAAGGACCACGACTGCCTGATGGCTTGCGTCTGGATTTTGATGATTATGATGAGGAAGTTTTGGAGGCGATGTATCTCTGTCTAGCAGACCTTGAACTGGGTGCAGATCCTTTAAGGGCATTGCAGGCTGAGATCCAACGATACCCCATCAGTTGGACCACATGTTGCCAAACTTTCCACCATTTTCTTGCGACTTTTACTGTTGCTGATGCGGAACCACTATGCATTGCATTTGACCATGTTGTTGCATGTATCCATTCATTGCTCCAAGCCGAACAATGGCCGTTTCTTGTTGCGGACAGGAAGCCTGACTCGCTTTCTAAGGTGCGCCTGGATGAGTGGGAAAACTGGTTTGCTGATCTTGCAACTGGGCCAGCAGCAGAACGAGCCTCCATCCCTGCAATACCACGTCCCACATGTCGCTTCAAAATTGTGCTGCATGCGTACGCTGGCAGACGCAGGCGGGGAGACATCGAATGGTACATGAACTCTTTTGCAGAGCAATTTCCGGATTTCATCATTGTGACAGCCTCGGTCGATATCGTCATCGACTCTCAATATGGTGACATTTCAAAGACCGAGACACGCGATTTCTGGCTTTCACATATTCAACATGGTCATGTCATTGCCTTTATTGGAGGGCCCCCTTGCAATACATGGAGCAGGGCTAGAAACATTGACCTTGGAGAAGTGTATGGACCGCGTGTCATTCGAAGCCCAGATGCACCGTGGGGTCTGCCCTCTTTGAGGATTGGAGAACTACGACAAGTCATGCTGGGTACGCTTTTGCTGGGCTTTGCGTTTGAATGCATGGCAGCACTTGCCACGTGCTCTGGTGCTGGGTTGCTTGAGCACCCAAAGGATCCAGAAAAGCCAGAGTATGTAAGCATCTGGCGCTTGCCGATTTTGCAGTTGCTATTGACATTGCCACGAATGAGACTGATCACGCTCTCTCAGGGCTTGTTCGGTGCCCCTACACCCAAACCCACGACTTTGCTTGTGCTGGGGATGGACACATTGGAAATGGACCTGCATCGACACCGTCTTTCTGGCCAACTTCCTCAGGGCTGTTCGATTGGCAAAGACTCTAGCGGAAATTACCGGACTGCCCCACTCAAAGAGTATCCTCCTGCTCTTTGCCGAGCAGTGGCTTCCGGTCTTTGTACAGACATCACTCGCATGGATTGCAGTGATACCATCAATGATCCTCCGTCCGAATTTATCCAACGTTGTAAAGGCATGAAGGATATTTCTTTTGACGGAAGGATTGGGCACGACGGATAAGAGTCTCCGATCTGTGCTTTGAATTTAGACATGCTCCGTCGCAGCGTCGAACGCTTCTGGGAACGGGAGGAAAAAAAAAAGTATACATATCTTAAACGATGAATCCATCCCCATCTCCCTCCCTCCCGGCCTTCCGCTTCCGCCTCCATCAGCTGCTCGCGCAGCTGCTCCGCCTCCCGGCGCGCTCGGGCGATGGCCTCGTCCGCCAGCGATGTTTTGCGGCGCCGCAAATGGGCGATGGACACGGCGCGGCGCGCGAGTTCGTGGCTCATCTGGCGCTCCTGGGGACCAGGGGTGCGGCGAACGGGTGGATGGTACCCTATACAAAAAACGAACTGGAAAATCACCACCTTTAAAAACGGTTCAACTATTTCTATGGGCCATGTTCGCTATGTTAAATTACCAGAGGGTATATGATGATTCTCGGATGTTTGGAAAATCTGAATGGAAGTTGTTGTTGTCTTGACTTAAATGTGTTGATGTTATGATAGGATGGACAGTTGCGAGGGAGTGGCTTTAATTTCAGCTGCAAGAATATGGGGAGAACACCTATGTGAATTTCTGGTGTGGATGATTGGGACGGAAAGCCAATCACTGTCTCAAAATAATTTCTTTATGGTGGAGATGTGGTTATATCCCATGCCTTGCATATATGCAAACCAAATAAGTTGATAAAATTGAATACAACCCGGTGCCAACCACCAGTCAACAGATCTGAAACTAGTATATAGTTCTAATATATCATAGTTATATCATGTCTCCTTTTCAGACCCCAAAGAAAAACACCAACTATATACCAACTCCCCCATAATGTACCCAACCCAACTTTGGTTGATAAAGATTATTTCATAAGGAGATGCCAATAGCAGATCCGCAGATTCCCGCCCCATGAACCGCCTGATGATGTTTGGCGATCTCTTCATCCGTCATGCCATGCACCGGAATCAATGGATCCTCGAAGACGTGCACCGCGACGCCGGCCTCGGCGTGGTGTTCCACCGCCTCGTGATGGTCACGGTCGCCCTGACTGCTGGCCTGGTACAAAAAACAGCTGCCCTGGTAGAACAACATGGCCACAACAGGATTTCTTGGATTTAGGTTAAATCTATGGTTAAATCTATGGTTAATCTATGGTTAGTAATTAAACAAACCATCATAAATAATTTGGTATTAGGTTCTTAGATGTTATTAGCATTATATCAAATTGAACATGTCTTTCCGGGGGATTGTTTCATATATGTTTGGATTCTTGTTGTGTTGGATAAGATTCTTGGTTGGCAAGAAATCTCCACCCAAAAAATAGAGTTTCAAAGTTTGAGGTTTCACCAACAGTACTCAGTGGCTGGAGACAGGGCCCGGATCTTGCGCTTCTGTGACATCTCGACAGCCAAGCGTTGTTCGCTCAACTCCTCCTGCGGTGATGCAACTTGAAGACTCACCACGGTTTCTGGGTGATGCATGATGAATTAAAACCGTTCAAATCCATCAAAACCATTTTGGAATAATTCAAAAGCGAAGGGTGAAACCATTTAGGACATTTTCGGTAATTATGTTGGATAAACACCATTTGCAAATATTTACAGTACATTACAGTGCAAAACAGTTCAAAAGATGTTATATTGAAGGATTTAAAACTGAATCGATGAACTTGGAATCTGGTTGGAATGCAACTTGGTGTTTATGATCACCTCAACAAATAGCATCAGTACAACGTTTGGGACATCACCTGTATGACCCTCTGATAATTTAACATCACTATGGAAAATCATCATTCTTGTGTAATAGGTAAATCATCCATAAAATATGAACAATTGTTCACACTTAAATTATCTTAAATTCCCGGAGGGATCCGGAGGGTAAGGAAGTAGAATTGGGGCGTCAAAATTGTTTGCTATGGTTCCCCACTGAATTGATTTCTGGCATCCACCAGCCTGAAGCCACTCATAGAGAGATGTGTTCCGGGCAATCCATGAGCTTACACAATGTTGGATGGCATCATCTGCAGTGGATACACGTACCCACCAACTGAATACGAAAATGCCGAAAAAAAATCGGTCCAAAGGTTTCCAAGGTTTTTACCCTACAGTACTCCAACATGGCAATCCCCGAACTAAATCAAGGGCTTATAGCTGGCTGGGCCGCCCAAACCGGACGTTCACCAAGAAGAACATCGCTTTTGTTCTGTTTTCTGTTTTGTCATACAAACAATCTGAAGAATATATTGAAACAGAATAATGGTTCGTTTAATGGTTGTATTCAGTATATGAACAACCATTGTTGAAAATCAACCATATATTTTGTCATACAGACAATCTGTTGAATAATGTCAAGTCAGGATTAATCAACAGCCCGTTATTAATCAACCTCCTCCTCCCCCCAAAAAAAATGCAATTAAAAAACAGGTGGTCCCCCAGTAATAATAAACACCCCCGATTAAAAAAACTCCAGTGCTGAAATCCATTTTTTATCCAACAATTTTTATTTCCAATTCTATTTATTTCCATTTATTTTTTACATGTTTTTTATCATCATTGTTATACTTAAGGTTTAAGTTGATCATTGAAAATTTGAAAAAACAACTATTCCCCAAACCCCCATGAGCCCATGTCCCCCATTAATAATAACCAGGGTTTACTCCTGATTAATCAACCACCTTTCTGATCCATGAGATTTTAACAAATCCAATGGAATTCTATTAAGATCTAATTAAGATCTAATTGACGTAAGCCATATCCAAAGTTTTATGGTTCAGAGTTGCTTCTTATTAAGGGGTGTTTAAGAAAATGACCTACAAGGTAGAGTTCCGACCTTCTGGGGGGGGGTTATTAATCCTGACTTGGCATTAGCTGGGAAATCCCCGCATTTTTTTATGGTGAATTTTCCAGCAAACCATCTGACTACCGGACCATCTCAGGGACCTGCTTGTACTCACTTTCCAAGCTTTCGGCATAGCTTTCGGCGGCTTTGACCTGCCGAGACCGAGACAACAAAGATTCACAGAGATCTATATTTTTTTTCAACCCTTCACCCCTCCCAAAAACCCCAAGTTTATCCAAGTTTACCATTTGGGGATGATTGAATATGGTTGAATACCATGTTTAAGGGATCGATCGTAGAGATCAATCCCACACCCACCTCAGCGGTCCAACACGGCAGCTCCTGGTCATATTGCCTGAGCTCGTCCCGCAAGCGTTGCACTTCGAATTCCAGGACCACGTGCTCCGGGCTGGGCGCCATGTGGTGGCGATGGGGATCTGAGGTTTTTTGGATTTGGGTGGCTGGGTTTTGATTGAAGAAATCAATGTTTGGCTGCTATTTGGGGGGATCAATGTCTGGCTGGTGAACTCAACTGAAAAAACCTGCGTGTGTGTGTGTGATGTTGATGTAGGACATTTCTGTTAAGTCTGTCACTCCTTCAGAACATCCGAAGAACATAGTCGTCTCATGTCGCTCGAGCAAGTAATGGCTAGACAGGTCCATTTGTGCAGGCCATCAATCTTCTGCGCCTGGTGAGCCAGTTTCACCCTGAAATTGCAGGGTTTACCCTTTGGTAATCAAACATGGCAGAAGAAAATCCTCTAATTGTCTGTTATTTTCTCATTAAAACTGTGTTCAATTGCCATGTTTGATTGCTGGAGGATGCATTTTCACCCCAAAAAATGATGAAGTTTGTTTCAAAACCAAGAATTATCACAATTTGGGCGTTGCCATGGTCATTAGAGATCATTAGAGTATCTACCTAAATTGGGTAAAATGTCAAATTTCATCTGATACCCCCAAACCTATATGTAGTGCACATTGGTATAATCCTTTCACCATTAAAGTAAACTGCCATAATTAAGGATACCTACCCCATTTGGGGATGTGTCAAAACCTATATTTTTGGGGATGAACATCTATTTACCACCTATTTGATGGGTACAGGGGACCCCTCATCATTTCACCCACAATTATCTGTCAAACAAAGCAGCCGGCAGTGCCGATGACGATGTCCACCGCTGAGTTCACTACGCAAGGTGTTGCCTTGATGCTTCGTGGTGCTAGATGAGCTGTTTTGGTCCAGTCAGTCGCGAAAAGTAGTTGATAGGGAATTGAAGTTGTACTTCCCAGTCAAAACGGGGATTTTTACCCACTACGAACAGGGATTTTTAACGGAGAAGGATATCGGTTTGGTGTGGTCTGGTGCTTACAGATCGGGATAGCTGAGTCAATTTATATCAAACGATATAGTTCATAGGCCTATTTTGAACCAATGTTGGCCCAAAGACACACAAACAGAATTAAGACTATTAGATGCTACCAGTAGTACCGTACAAGGCGGTGGCGGAAGTTTCAAAGATAGGAAAACTATAGGAGAGGTTGGTTGTTGTGAATCGTGGATGGCTGGGCAAACCCCCTGATGGATCGGAAGGTGGTTGGAGTGTCGGGCTATTTCTGTCGATCTGTCTATCTATGTATCTATCTGTCTATCTTTCTGTTTATCTATCTATCTGTCTATCTATCGTCTGTCTGTCTATCTGTCTATCGATCTATCAATCTGTTTTTCTATCTATCTGTCCCATTACCTTTCTATGTGTCTCTCTCTCTATCTATCTGTCTATCTGCAAGCCTGAAAACGAAGCTATTCTGCGAGACTTGATAGAAATTTGAAAGATGAAAGCTGAAAAACGAAACTTTTCTGCAAGACTTCCTTCAATTTGGAAGTTGACAACATCAAAAACGCTGCACTTCTGCGAGACCTCCTCCAAAAATCGAAGTTGTCAACATCAAAAACGAAGCAATTCTGCGAGACGTCCTTCAAAAATGGAAAGTTGAGTGCTGAGCTGACAGCCTTGTGCCAATGCGTTTTGCGATTTTCTCATCCGACCTCTCTAAAGTACTGCGCCCCCGCGAAAAAGTGAGGCCAGGTCACAGGAAGTGCTGCACCTGTCACGCAAAATCATCTTAGCAAACCTGAAGATCTGATGCTCCAAAATGCAGCTCCTTGCAGGAAATCAGCTTCCTGACCTCCGAATATCTCTGATGGAAATATCTCTTCTATTACGCCTGCCAGGCGGCCCAGGCGACATGTATCTTTCCAGATCCTGTTCAAACGTCCCACGCGCTTTGAAAATTGCCACAAAACCTTCACGTTTTACTCACTTTTGGCAAGGTGCAGAGTCCCTTGCGCCTGCCACGCCAAACCACATCCTAACTTCAAAAAGTAGTCCAAGACCTTCAGTTTTTAACACATTTGACTTCCAAATGTGCTTCGCGCCACAGCAGCATGCACTTTTTGAACATCTCAACTTCCAAAAGTGCAGTGAGGCGTTTTTACATCTTGAGTTCCAAATCTTGTTCGCGCCACAACCACGTGCACTTTTTCAACAGCTCAACGTCCAAAAGCGCTCCGATGCTGATTTTTTTTACATTTGGACTTGGAAATGTGCTTTCCACAGCCGCGTGCACTTTTTAATGAGCTCAACTTTCATAAGTCCGACAATGACATGTTTTTAGCTGTCTGACATCGAAATGTGCTTCGCGCCACAACGGCGTGCAAACTTTGATCTCTCATCTGACGAGATGGCTCTGCACCCGCCACTTTAGCGAGCCTACTTTTTGACCCTCTGGAGCCACAAAATATTGGAAAAACAAAGTGTTTCGCGACTTTTCTACCTTTTCGTGCACCTGGATCTTCTTTCTACTGACTCTTTCTCTTCTGACTTCTTCTCTTCTGACTCTTTCTCTTCTCTGACTGCTCTCACCTCTGCTTTTCCATCTGTCCATATTGTCGGAAGTTTGACTTCTAAACTTCCTTCAATTAAGACATTAGAATAAGGTAGAATATATAATATTGTATGAAATGAATCTTCTCAATCCAATTTGGGAAAGACAAATGGAATCTGGCCGCCCTTCCAAAATAGACCTGCCAGAATACAAGCCTCCATATCCATCCCAAAAAATCCATCTCCGGCACCTTGCCGTATGGAAGTTTGCCATCCGTCTTCGAGATGTCAATAATGATCTCAGGGGGGCATCGCATCTTACCACTGAACATAGTGGCTATGGGAAGTCAGGGATCGCATGGGATAGTCTGAGGTGCAAAATTGTAGATGGTCAAATTCCAGGGTTCATTAGGGCATTTTGCAGTGAATATCCATGCAAAATCACCCCAAATAGCAACAAACGTGATGGGATTAGTACCTCACTTACTTACAGCTAGCATCCTAGTACTTGGAAGAGAATCCCACTTCTGAAACGGGTGGTAACTTGTTGGTAATGTTCTGATTCCCAGGATTGTCCCCCCCTGGCAATTTCTAGGATGATCCAAGAAGCAAAGATCCTGAAGCAGAAATATCCTGCTTGTGACATCACATGCTGGAAGTGTGAAAATCCATTGCCAGTCCTCTAACTAATGTTGCTATCCCCACCAAAAGCTCATGGCTTGGAACCAATGGGTAAAACTTATTTGTCCATCCTCAGCTGACCTGTTTTCACCTTGCAGAAACAGAACTAAACTGAAACAATCACACAATTTGAAACATCAATAACAATTGATATCAAATTTATTATATAGAATGATATTCACTTATACAACTACGCAAACATTATATGATTCACTTGCATCATGGTATACAATTAAATAAACGCATTTGCAATTATTTATTCATAATTTCATCTGCAATGGGATATCCCCTAGATAGCTGGGAAAATCATCTGCAAATAAGGAATTGTCCATTGCCATCTTTGATTACCAGAGGGTACCCATAATTCCATTGGCACAAACTGATTCCCATATTATTCTATATCTCCATCGATGGTTTAAACTCAACCCCGATGAATGATGGATAATGATGGCCTATCGATTCTAGAGGTTTCCTGAAATATGGGTGCCCACAAATCATCCATTTGCAGGATTCTCCATAAGACAAACCATCCAGCTGGGGTATTTCTGGAACCCCCCAGTCCTGTCGAAATTCTCCCAGGCGCTGGATGAAAACTTCTCACCGCAATGAAGACGGCGAAGGCGAAGGCCGTCCCAAGGGCGCGGGAAGCGGTGTCCTTCTGCCGGCTGATGAATGTCGGATTTCGCCATCAAAAATTGGGGATTTGAAAATGTTACCAACATTTTACCAACATTTTTGCGGGTATAAGTATAAATCCCCAATTCACCAACACTTGTGGATATTACCAACATTTTACCTGCAAAAAAATTGGATGCCCATAAAAATTGGGATTAACCAAGAGAATTCTGGGGAATTATGTGGCTGATTTGCGGTAGATAAGGTCGGTAGGATCCGCAATCAGGGGTGCTCCCAACACCCCCAAGGAAGGTGGAACAGAAAGACAAAGGATGAAGAAAGGAAGGTAGAATGACCAATTCATCATAATCCACCATCCTTGTACCTGTGGTGCCCCTGATTTTTCTTGGATTTACCCATAAATCGGGGTTTTCATGGGTTTTCCAGCATTGTCCCTTCCTCCAATTCTGAGAGCACTCCCAGTTTCATTCAGCATCCAAGCTGCAACAGATTACACATGCCAAGAAGAATGGGCTTCGGCATGGTCCCTCATGTTAAGAAACCGACATGTACTGGTCTTGCAAAAGTTTGCTATGGAAAATCACCATGTTTAAATACATTTCATTAATAGGTAAATCATCGAACTAAATATGCCATTTCCATATATGTAGCAAATTAAATTACCAGAGGGGATATCCCATGAGTATTGTCCCATTATAAATGATAAACCATTATACACCCTCTTACAGTATCCTATCTTATTAGTTGTTAAGTCACTATTTCTGCTTTGTGAAATCCAAAAACTATTGCTGCTCCAACTCCTTCCCGAGCATCCGGAGGCTTACCACGGACCAGCTGCCAAACGCAGATCGTAACATGATTGTTTTGGGGTGAAATTGTCTGGTTGGCTGAACCTCCCATGTCTTTCTTGCTGAAAGTTGGTTTTATGGGGGTTTTAAGATGTTTTAACCATCATTAAACAAAGGGGGCCACTGAACCATCAAACCCTCAACTCATGAGACACTGTTATGATGTACAAGTAGTAAGCTGCGGAAAAAGTCCCAGAAAGAAATATCGACAACAAAAAAGCCTCTCAAATATCGAATCGAATCGAATTGGACCCACTTCTTTTTCGTTTTTGGAGGCGAATGGAAAGTTCCAACCTTGGTTCAACTTGGAGAGATGAACTGAGATCCACACCTTTACCTCATCTTTATGCCTGGCGATCCAACTGTT